ACAATGCCTACATCTATGTCGGAGTCCAGACATGCTAAGCCGCGCTGGGCAGATTGGCACTGACTGTCAGCTGCTTCGGGGTTTGCTTTGCACCATCGAACTGCACAGCGTTTCTCCTAGCTTGGCGGGACTCGCCTCCTACGCCGACCCTTGGTATGGATCAGCTAGAAGTCGTTCAGAACTTCAAGTACATGGAAAGTTGTATCAGCCCACTTGGGATTGAACATGTGACCATGAACCGTATATCAATAGCTTGAAATCCTTTTGCTAAACTTAGCCAAGTTTGACGGCGACGCGACACCTTTCTCGTAAAATGCAGCGGTACCTACGACCTTACTTAAGGTTGCGAAACCTCGTCCCAAAGTTTGGCGGACATAAAGAGGCTAGTTAAGTTCGACCACGCGTGTCTTCGCGGTTTGGCTCACAGCTGATGCGAACGCCGCGTGAGTAACGAACGGGTTCGAGGCCTTGTTCACGGCACAGAAAAAAGAACTGAACCGCTCAGAACCGGCCTTTCACCCAGCAGTCTCCGATGTCTGGGTTACGTGTTGCGCATGCTATCGCACCGACTTCCACGACGTGCATTGGTTGCTCAACGGGGGTGTGGATGAAAGAAAAAGTACGGTGGTCAAGCGATGAATTGATCCAGAGCTGGCTTCGGCTGGAGCGTCACGGCTCCCTGGTTGAACTCCAATGGACGATGGGCGTGTTTTGCTGGATACGCTTGCTAACCTGGCAAGGAGCCGACATCAGTGGTGTTCCTGCTTTAAGTTTCTTTGTCCCTCCCCATCCATTTTAGCCTGCTCTACAATCACGATCTCCATCCAAAGCGTAATATAATTTCGCATAATAAATTTTATTGTTGCGTAGTAGCCGGCTGGTAGCTTACCGGAACGATGCCTATCCTTTGCCGGTAGCTCAGCTGGTGTGCAACTGTTGTATTTATTTTCCTTTTCCTTTAGGTATTGCTTTACAGTAATTGAGGTGTCTCTCACCTCGAGCTAACGTGTGGATTGATAATGTTGATGGCCACTGAAAAGGATGAAACTATTCCGATGGTTCTCCCCAGCACCCGAAATCTAAAGGCCTCCTGTGAAAACTGGTTCTGTGCCGCGGATAGAGGTACCGATCGCCGTGCTTGCCACACTTGTTTTTGGAGGTGGAACGGAGAATGCGCAGGTATATTTCGAGACGGTTTGGTGTTGGACAGATTATACTACAGTCTTATACTGCAGCAATGATACATCCAACCAATTTAGTACCTTTGTGGCACATCGCCTGTCCGTTATGCACGGGTTATCGATGCCAAGCCAGTGTAAGCACGTCAGGTCTAGTTGTAAATCAACGGACATACCGTCAAGGAGTAGCTGTTTCCCCGCATGTTTGGAAAGCTGGTTCCATGATCCAAAGTTGCCAAGGCATAATAGCGATGAATGGCCAAGGTGCTGTGTAAAACCCAACACAAACGACATAGAGCTAAAGAATATAAAGTCTCGGGTGAATATGATGACATGCAAAAACCTATTATCTGTCTTACTTAGAAGGTATTCACATTGGTTTATGTTGTTGAAATCGGCTCTGTGGCATACGCGATTCAAGGTGTTTTTGATCGTGAGGGGTGGCATTAAAATAATGGTGACACGCAAAGGGCTAATCCCCAACGAAGGCCTTAATCGGACAGAGCGTGCTGTTCTTTCCAACGGCCAAGGTGCGTTATACGTCGCAGGATTAATGCGTCCCGAAAGAGCAAAGGGTGCAACTATGTTAAGTTAAGTACAAATGGACGCCTAACAGCGCTTTTGGCCTGTTTTAGAATATCAGTTTCTTTGTCTTCGATGGCGGTTAGCGTATTCTGAGTACGCGGCATGCTCAAATATTCGGTAATTTTGCCTCGTAAACAGAACACCTAACAGTTTTCTTTATTTGAATGGTTATTCAAAAGCTTCGCAACTCCTAAAGAGCCTGTGTCGCAACTATTTAATATGCGTTGAAGGGTGGCAGTAAAGCGTTTGACATGAAATGGCTGGGTGTGCAAAATCAGCTGGCCAATACTAAGCAACCTTTGATGGAACCATTACACTTAACACGAGTGAAGCAATATTTTCGCCGATAAACGTCCGCCCGGGTTGATAACTTCCGACCCTCTAATAAAAGAAAACGAGAAAGTACATCCTATATCTGAGTGAAATGTTCTGTCCCCCGAGACAGTCATTTATGTTACAGACCTTTCGTTACCAAATTAGGCAACCTCTTCTGTGAGACTATTCCGTCCTGATTCGCGGAGTCACGCAAACCAATGCCACATCCCGATGGCTATTGATTCTTGCCTGTTTCAAAGCTTAGGCTTCTATTTGTTCACGTAAGCCGTTCGCGTGGGCTCGTCTTCTGCTTGTCGGTCTAGTGCCTATTGCTGGCTCAACCTGCAGCGTTTCTTAGCCACCCTTCAGCTCCAGATGGTTGTTGGTTGAGTTCCGGCCAGAATGCCAAGCATCGAGGAAATTACGCGCTCAGCGGTTTATTGCTCTTCCAACCATTTCAGAGTTCTCCACATCGAAATGATGGTACTCGGCATCCATGTGTACTGGCATTAAGGATTTCTCATCGTGGCGGCGGATTGCCAGACTACGTTCGTGCAGCCACATGCTGAGTTTTCTTCCAGTCTGGCCTGCATAGTACTTGTCACAACTTCTGAATGAAATTATGTAAACTACACCCGAACAAGAGCTTGAGTATGGGATTGCTATTAGTGCCCATATGATTAAATTCCAAATAAAGCGGAAACTAACAATGGTAGTTGGCCAAGACCTCGCAACAAAAACCAGCACAGGAAGCAGACTCACGGCTTAAGAATCTATCCCAACAAACCCTAACAGATACAGCAAGAGCAGTTATGGTGTGAGGTTTGCAAAGTCAATGATAAAGCTTCCAATCCTAATGCTTTCCTTGCCGCAGGTGAATCAACGCTAACCACATCAAACATCACAACTGAAGCCCAACGTCCAATTAGACGCAGCATCATCTTTGCTCTGAGTCACAAAGTAGGAACCGATATATTCAGTTTAAGCGAAGGAAAGTCACTGACAAATCTCAGAAAAGACAAGGCTATTGTTGTTTTACCGGCCTACAAGGGTCGTCTTACTGTAATAATGCACGAAAATTGTCTACATGAAGAAAACACCAGAGCTGCTCGGAGATGTGGCCGCCCACCGCCCCATAAGTGAACCCTCTACAAAACGTCTGGAAAGCAAGATCAACAAAACTCATCAAAGGATGGAACAAATGGGACGGATCACGTAATGAGAACACAGCGAGATGAAACCCAGGGATTCAGTGCTATCACGGTCCTACGGCGTACCTAAAGTACACAGACATGAGGTATCGCTTCGCCCCATCTTGTCATACCCGGGGACACCAAATTATCAGCTGTCTAAGGAAATTTGGAAACGGTTGAAACATTTAACCATATGAACATTCACTCAATCCAGCCGGCAGAATAATTGCTTGAAAAGCTTAAGGGAATAACGATAGAAAGAGGCGAGGTAATGGTCAGGTCAGGTCAGATGGACAATAGAGGCTTCCGCCTAACGAGCGTTTAGTTCTTGTGCCGGTAAGTGAATCGGCCCCCAGCACTTCGACGTTGGATTGTTTCTTGCTTCTGCAATGGAATGATGCAAGAACAAGAGCAGTCTCTGCACTTTCATATGACAGCATCAAGATACACTACATATACCAGTACAACTACAATAGCTCTGGAAAAAGGGTGGACCAACATTTGTCTAAGCCCTTTCTAAAGACTTCTACGGTCTCAGACTCCACTAAATCAGAAGGAAGTTTATTCCAGTAGTTAACTACTCGGTTCGTAAAAATCTTTGCCCTGATGTCCAAACGAGCTCTGTGATGTTTGAGCTTCAGGCGATGCCCGCGCAGATGGTCTGACGTAGCCAACTCAAACAGATGGGTGGAACTAATACCACTAAGTCCCTTAATGATCTTAAACGTCTCTATCAAATCCCCTCTCAACCTACGCCGCTCCAAGGAAAATAATCCTAAGCTACTTAGACGATCTTCGTAAGACTTCTTTCATTGACCTTCAATCATCCTGGTCGCAAGTTTCTGAATTTTTTCTATACAAATGATGTCACTCCGGAGGTACGGTGACCACGCCTGAACACAATACTCCAGATGTGGCCTGACCACTGCCTTATATAAGGGCAAGAATACTTCTGCTTTAGTGTTACTCAGCGCCCTCTCAAGACGAAATAACTCGTGTCGTGCTTTATTGGCAGCATGGCGACACTGTGCCGAAGGCTTAAAATTGTTCGTTACGATGACACCTAGATCACGGGCTTCGTCAGTACATCGCCATGATAGGGATCCCACAGAAGACTGAACTGCAATTCCGCTACCAATACTAGGCAATAGTTGACATTTGTTAGCATTTAGAGGTAGGTCCCATTGGCTTGACCCATTCGCCACAGTGATGATGTCCTTAGCCAATGTCGATCGGTTTCCCCTACTGACTGGCTTCAAGTCATCTGCAAAGATGTAGCAGGGATCCTCAAGAAGAGGAGCCAGGTCATTTATTAACATAAGAAACAGCAATGGACCCAGAACCGAACCTTGGGGGACACCACTGTAGGCATGGCCAATACTAGAACTCGCTTCCCCAACCCTGACTCTGAATGTCCTTCCACGTAAGAATTCAGAGAGCCATAGTAATAGTTGAGGATGCAATCCAAACAAAGTCAGCTTCTCAATTAAAAATCGATGATTCACGGAGTCAAAGGCTTTACTGAAGTCTAAATAGCACACCTCTACCGATATCCCACTATCAAGACAACCGGTAATCTCGTCTAAAAAGCACAGTAAATTGGTAAGACAAGACTTCTTTGTAAGAAAGCCATGCTGTTCCGCTCGAATTAGATTGTGCTCAGTCAAGTGCTCACAGATCCTGTTCCTTATAAGCTTTTCCAAGCATTTCAGCATGGTGCTGGTCAAACTAACAGGTCTATAGTTAAGAGGCACCGACTTAGAACCCCTTTGTGGATGGCAACAATAGTCGCCTCCTTCCAATCACGTGGCAGCTTGCCTTCTTGAAGAGACTGGTTGAATAACTCCGCTACGGGATACTGAAGGACATCAGCCAGCGGCTTAAGTATGGCGGGATGTACGCTATCAGGACCGGCTGATTTATAAGGGTCCAAACTAGCCAGCACTGTGAAGACCTCTGGCACACTGAGAGTAATTTCCCGCATTGTGTAGCTAGTTGAGCAGTGCGGCTGTGATGGCAAGGCTGACCCACTATCCTTCCGATGCAGGCTTTGGTAGACACGTAGCAGCAATTCTACTTTTATCGACGTCGTCTACAGCCTGGGTACCGTCCTCCATGGTTAGACAGCCGACGACCTCTCTTAAAGAAGCATTTGACTGAACATAACTGTAATAGCACTTGGGATTAGTTTTCGCGAATTTGGCCAACCTAAGCTCATATGAGTACTTCGCTTGCCGCTGTAACTTAATAGCCATGTTTCGACACCTTTTGTACTGCAGCCAGCGTCGAAAGCCCCGAGTTTCTTGATATTCTCTCCACTCAGCATTGCGTCTCTTTATCGCTCGCTCAATTTTTCTTCTCCACCATCGGGGTTTCCCAAGATGTCTCCTGGGGCGAAGAGGAGCAAATTCATTCAGCAACTGTACAAGTCCACTTTTAATTAGTAGCCACCTCTGTTCCAAAGTGGCCTTGTCCTGCTCAGGAACCCAAGTGATCTGAAGGGCTCGATCCCGCAGCTTCATAAAATTAATACGATTTAAATCTCTTCCCATTCGACGGTTCTCTGCAAGCCTCGGTGTGTCCAGAGAAAAGGTCAAAACACAATGATCACTCTTACCTATGGGTGGCTCCAAGCATAGGTCAATCAAGTGACCATGTCTGGCGATCACGATATCAAGGGTTAAAGGGGTACTCCCAGTACGACTCCTAGTCGGGACATTGACGTACTGCTCGAACGCATTTACATGCATCCAATCTACTAGTTCCTTCTCTAAAGTACCCGCTCTGTTTTCGGCATGCTGCCAATCAGCATGCGGAAGGTTTAGGTCACCGACGATCAGAAAATTAGGTGCGGCCATTGCCGCCTGTCTTAGTAACGTACCAAGATCCCTGTCCTCTTCTCGCGTGGAGGATGGGCTACGATAAACACATACTATGATCTCCAACCTACCCCATGCTTTTAGATAGCAGGATACCACCTGAACGTTAGCAGAAATCATGGTAAATGGAGCCTCCCAGTGTTTATATTGGCACTTTATAAGCAAGAGTACCCCTCCACCAGTCTGATACCCGGGCCTGTCAGCCCTGTAGCACGCAATATCTATAAGCAGCTCACCAATAAGGTCATCTGGAGAGAGCCAGGACTCCGACACAGCGGCCACATCAACATGCTCACAACGCGTCACTAATTCCCCCCATTTGTTACGCACACTACAACAATTGGCGTACCACACGCTAAGTCTTTCCGAACGCGGTTGTTCCCCTCGGACGCAGAGCCCGAGGGGATAACCCGTTTTTTCGTACCATTTCATTTCGTTTAGCTGCCTGAGTCGGTAAATCAACGCTGCGCTTCTGTAACGCATTACGGGGTAATCCCTTTCCTGGCTTCGCCCGCCTGGGCTTGCTGAATAAACTCCCGATGGGTTTCCTCCCATTTACCTGAGTCGACCTGACAGCACTGCACTTCGGATTTTCTGTACGGCCCAATTTAGGGGTGGCAAGTTTTTCATTTATCCTATCATTTTGTGAAAAGGGCATACCACCCATGGACTTTGGTGCCACTACTATCGAGCATGAGGCTTCCATTGTTCTTGAACGCACCGGCTGAAGTCCCATTGCCACACCTTCACTACCCTATTCCGCCATAGAGATGTGATTCTCATTTTCATCAAGAGCAAGTTTCTCCACAACCAAATGTAGGCCAGGAGTTATCTCGCTGGCATCTTGTGAAGGGGATTGTCCAGACAAGCGGTCTGCCCTTGCCACAGAAGAGCAAGCGCTAGAGGTTTGCTAAGGTGTCTGCATAACGTGAGGCTCAGTATCATGAATTCCAACGTGTGAGACCGCAGATTCGTTATCCAAGCTGGTATTAGTGCCTTCTAACCGGCTCAGCCGAGAGGCTTTAGCCTTCGAAGTCCGTGTGTCCGGTGCTATTTGATACCGACCATTTGTCTGACTTGCAACCAACCCAGCCCTGTTAAGTAGATGGTCCCGGTGTATAGGGTTCCGGAACTCAACCAGGATAGGCCTTGCCTAACCTTGGTGGCGGAGCATACTTGTTTCTCTCCAGCTGTCAACACGATGTACTCTTTTGATACCAACGTATAACGGTATTCCGGCTATACGAAGGATATCTTGCACTCGCCTTCTGTCTAGGTCCCGTCGAGTTTTAGTTTCTCGTATGACTGGCTCCTCCCTATTGTAGATAAGAACGTTTCGTTGTCTACCCAAAGCAAGTTCTGCACTTCGCAAGTAACATTCCAATGAAGACTGCAACTCTTCAACTTTTGAACGCAATGTCTCTATTAGCAAGCTCTGGTCACGAATCAACTTCTCGGCACTGTCTAGTCTATGCACACAGCTTCTACTAGCAGACTCATGCACAGCTGAGACATGAGTAACTGGAGCAGAAGTCCGATCACGTATCAAGCGAGAACCAATGTCTGCTAAGCACACGCAGTGGAAGCAAATCAACTTTAATTGGGAATGTCGGGCATAAAGATCAATAGAGTCCTGGTCTAATCTAGAGCAGTTGTTATGGTACCAGAACAAGCATCTGTCGCACTGAATTCCCTCTTTGACCTCAACGCCACAAGTGTGCTCACCACATTTATAGCCAGCCACAGATGTCATTACAAATAGCACGTAACAGCCACGTATAGAATAACAAAATATAGGTAGTTTGGTGGGGTTAACTGACCTAATTAATACAGGTATGACGGCTTAAGAGTAAGTAGTCACAACAAGTTAATACAATAGAGAATACAACAAGTGAATAAAACAATAAACACAGCGAATTAATAAGACCGAAAAGAACACAAAGAGAAGCAATCCTGGAACGAACTCACGCGGTTAACAAAGATCCAAGATATCTTGGATCAATATTTGATGGAGCAGAGTAAAAATATTTTACTCAGTCACTCTAGATCACGCTTCCAAGCCAAATTTGTAAGTAGAAATCTCAAGCAAGAGCTTTTTCAAAATTTTCTTTGACGTTACAGCTTTGTTCACATCAATTGACCCGACGATGGCGTGGCAAATAATGATGACTCTGCTTCAACAACACGGAGCGGTAAATACCGGTAACAGAATTGTGGCCACAAAATGATGGATTCGTTTGACTTCTGTTACACCACACATTTCACTTTCAATGGTTTAATGTACAATCAGCTAAAGGGTACGTGAGTGGGATCGCCAACATCTGGACTGGTAGCAGAGGCACTAATGCAATCCATGGAACCGAAGGCATTGCCAATAGGGAAGCCCAAGCATTGGGTACGTTATGTAGACCATACGTTTTTCTTCCTCAAACGCTTCCGAATACAAGAGATATATCAACTAAGCAAAAATATTTTTTCCGGCAACCAGTTTACCAAATAGGAAGAGCGCAAGGAGCTGTTGTCAATCTTGCACGCTCTCGTGAGGATACATGCTTCTGTGTCACTGGAAACAACAGTTTATCGGAAAGCAACCCACACCGGTCAGACCTTAAAGTATTGCAGCAACCACCCAACCAATTACAAGCGATGTTGCGTGCGGACGCTTTTCAAACGGGCCCAGACACACCGTAGCAAGCCACAACTGAGGAAGGCGGAGGAGGACCACCAATTTAGCATGTTTCAGCGAAATTTGTACCCTAGTAGCATTATTCTACGCTGTCTGATATCAAAGAGGCAGTCATAACCCGCGTCCACATATGCGACAGAAAGAAGGACGATTATTCTACTGTACCTCCATGGGATTTCTGAAATGTTAGCGACGTTTCTATTGTCGCACAGGATATCTGTTGCAAATGAAGCAACGGACACTATACGAAGTAAACTTTTAAAGTAAAAGGCAAACGGTCTAAGAAAGAAACATCGGGGTACTTCACAAAATTTCCTCCAGAAATTGTAACAAGAAATGTGCAGGCCAGACTGCAAGAAAACTTGGCACAAGACTGCACGAACGTATCATGTAAATCCGCCGCCACGATAAGAAATCCTTAATGCCAATACACATGGATGCCGAGTACAATCAGTTCGATGTGGAGAACGCTGAAATACTTGGAAGTGCAAGAAACCGCAGAGCGCGTGAGTTCCTCGATGCTTGGTATTCTGGCCGGAACTCAACCAACAAAAATCTGGAGCTGAAGGATGTCTAAAAACACTGTAAGTTAAGCCAGAATAGGCACCAGATCGACAAGCAGAAGACGTGCCCACACGAACGACTCACGTGAACAGATCGAAGTCCGAAATTTGAAACAGGCAATAATCAATAGTCATTCGGATCTGGCATTGGTTTGCGTGACCCCGCGAATCAGAACCGAATGGCCGCACAGATGTTGCCCAGTTTGGCAACGAAAGATCTGCAACTTAAATGGATGGCTCGGAGAACAAGATAATTCTATTATCCGTACCCCGGGTTACAGGTATAGTCAGCAATTTCCTTTCAGTTATCTTTTTACACGCCTACAAACTCGGACAGTACACATTGAATTTTCTCACACACTGGATACCGACTCTATTATTATGGTGTTAATGAGGTTTGTCTCACACCGAGAATCCTTTGTGGAAATATACAGCGAAAATGGGGACAATTTCGTAGATGCAGTTGCTTACCTACCTTGCGCTTTAAATAAATGGTCGCACGGGAGAATTAATGAAAACTTTAGAGACTCGCAGCGTTGGCATTTCAATCCGCCCACGGCCAGTAATCGTGGTGGCGTTTTGTAGCGCAGCATAATGTCCGTCAGAAGAACATTGTTATCAATCGCTCCACAGCAAACATTTAATAGCGAATCCTTAAACAATCTGTTTATTGCTGTGGGCCGTATCGTTAACAGAGGACCACTGGTTCCTCTGCCTTCAGTAGCAAACGGCCGGGCTACCCTCGCTTAATAAGTTGTTGATATTGCAACCCAACGTACTAGGCCACTTTACTAACTCTGTACTAGTAGGCTACGGTCGTTGTTGGCACAAGTTAACTTATTTTACTGAGTTATTT